ATGTATGGTTCTACCCCTAAAAATGTATCCTAGCTAAATTGCTTAACTTCTCTGCAGGGCAAGTCCTCAGAGGGAGAAAGGAAGCTATGACTCACCACTTCCTAAAACATCCACGTAGAGGTGAGAGAGTTAGCATGTTAGCAACTGAGTTTTGATAACTCCCATCCGAAGGTTCTAAAAGATACTAGATTCTGCAACATTATTTCTCTCAGATTTTGACAGTGTGCATTTAAAGCTTGTCTATTTAGAGCTGAGTCACCTGGCTAAAGCGTGAGTTTGAAAATCAGAAATCCCAGCTATTTTTTCTCTAACTATAAATCTTGGTGTGCTATGAAATTTGGAGCACGTCATTAAACCATTTGCTATCAACGTTTACTTATGTACAGAATGGGGATACTAACATTCCTACAATAGCAATTGCCCATCAGCTCAGTCCCTTAAAGAAACGAAGCCCTGGCAGAGCGAGTGTAAGCTTTACCAGGACAGAAATCTACAAAATTTCCAAGGCTTGCTGTTATCTCCTTCTTGGAGTAATAGGTAAGATTATGCCAGAGTTTAAGTCAGCAAACCTGCCCCATTTCACCTCGAGCTGAAGCTGCAGGATTTACTTCCTTTAATGATGTAACATCAAACACAGAAAAACTGGTTCCAGTCTAATCATCTGCAGAACGACCTGCCTTGTTGCATCCACTGGCCGTGGTGACAGGGAGCTGAGGAAAGACAGAGATGGATCCAGGCCAGGTTGGAGACAGCAGACTCTAACCCAGGCAGAGTCCCTCTCCCTGGACCAACTGCTTTCTATAGAGGAGCAGGGAGCCCTGCTAGCGACCTCCTCCTGAGACCACAGCTCTGAAGAACATAAAACACAAACGTTACCTCTTGGATGTGGAGGGTTAACTTCATGGCAAACAGAGGGTTAAGAAAAGAATGCATGATAATATTTCCCCCCATATTTTTCACGAGAAAAGTGTCCCTTTCTAGGTCAGAGTACTTTCGTGCCTACCGTTAATAATTACTATCTGGGGCGTTAACATTTCAGCTCTTTCTACCTGGCATCCACAAGTGTCAACCAGAATCAACTAACAAATGTAAACATATGATTTTTTTCTCTTGGTTTTGTTTTATAATTTTTTAATTATTATTTTTATTGAAGGGTAGTTGATTTACAATGTTAATTTCAGGTATACAGCAAAGCGATTCAGTTACGCATTAAACATATGACATTTGAACGTAATGTCTTTTGCGTTCACAGGTGACGAAGCTCAAGGTAGCATTTTTGGCTTGTATTGTTTGTTCTATGAGGGGGAGGTAATTAGGTTTCTTCACTGAGTTCCGCTAGGAGGAGGTACTGGGGATTGAACCCCTGACCTCTTGGGTGCTGAGCATGCGCTCTACAACTTGAGCGATACCCTTCCCCCAGGGTAGCATTTTTCACCCTCAGCTTCCCACCCCTAACCAGCTCACTTATAAAGGTGAAGCCCGGCATTGCACCACCCACGTCCTCTCCCATGTCTCTGTCATCCGGGGCAATTTTAAGCAAGTTGGCTGATGGACAGTTAGCAAGGTCCGAATATTTATATCGAGTCAAGGATGAACACATTTTGGTACTTTAAAAGTGCAGCATAAAAATAGCAATGAGAATGTTTCATGATAAAAATAACCAGTCCTAAGTCCTTTATTTGTTTCCCCTTTTCTTAATTGGAAGACTTTTATGTGACTTACAGCATTTGGGTCCAGTGTCGTGTTTGCTACGTTTATATAGTAACCAGAAACGCTGGATAAATATTTATGTAGTTACCAAACTTTTAACAGGCCCCAAACTTGGAATAATCCAAAAGAAAGCAAAACACTCCATTTGGGGCAATTGTAAATCCCTTGTTGTTAACGTGACTTGGACATTGGAAGGGAAGAAGTGAGCTCGAATGGCTCCCATATGTTTGCTGAGAGCAGGCTTTGAGGGGTGAGGGTAGAGAGAGGACAGAAGAGGGGCTGCTGTGGACAGTCTGGTAACTGGCAGAGCATCGTTTTGCACTAGTCAGCTGTTGCCTGGCGGACACCTGCATGATAAATGAATAAGGGGGGCCAGGAGGCTCTTCTTACACTAAAAAATTCAGGGCATATGGTTCTGGCCAGTTCTCTATCCCATCCTAACTTTTGGTTATTATGGAAGTGCATTTGTTCCCCAGGCCATAAAAAAAGAGCACTATAGCTTTGAGAAGAGAATTGAGGCCAACAACTTAGAGATTCAGTCTTTAGGGACATGATATAAAGAACCTACATTTGAAATCTGGATGTAGGGTCATTGAGAAAGGTCCTCTGGCTCCATGGAGCAGGACTGTGGAGAAAAAGGAGAATCATGGGTGGGGGTATCGCTCAGCTGGTAGAGCACATGCTGAGCGTGCTCATGGTGCTTGGTTTGATTCCCAATACCTCCATTTGAAAAAAAAAAAAAAAAACCAAAATGAGAAAATGAAGAATCTACAAAAGATAGTTCTTTGAATCCATGGAGACCCAAATATGCACATTTTAAACTGGTAATCATTTGAGAAGTTTTACAAGAAAGAGATAATTAGCAGAGGACTGGCCCACGCATGTAGGCATTACAAGGAAGCAGTGGGCTGATGGTAATCTGGGGCCAGTGATCTATAAAATAGTAACAATAACTGTACTAACCTCACAAGTTGTTGTGAGAAGTAAATACAGCAACGTAGAAGCTGCTTAGTGCAACCACAGGCACAAAGTAAGGGGTAATCAGTGTTCGCTATTAGTATTATTATTATGACCCGGCTTTTGAGACTCTGCCTTGCTACCTGTACTGCAAGGAAAGAGTTCACGCTAGACATATTTAGCTGGAACGACTGGAAAATTTAAGCAGAAAGTCTTTGCAAAGGGCTTGGACTTGGAGGAAGGATGTTTTTGGTTCTGTTCCCCGAAAGCTCTGGCCCAGGGGTGTATGCAGTCTCTCCCCAACTGGGAGAGAAACCCTACCCTCACTGTGGCTAAGTTAGCAGAAGGCAGGCCTCCTAGGAATGGAGGCCGTCCAGGCCTTTTGGTCCTTGAATAGTTCAAAGCATTTCTGGAAGCTTTGCTAGTGAGGCAAGGAATGCGTGGAGAAACCTGAAATAGCCCTGCCAGGGCTGCTGGCCAACAGCTGCGCCATGCCAGTTGCTGGGTCCCACGTCACAGCATCCACCTCAGGCGTGGGGATCCCAGACAAGTGGTCATAAGAGCCTCACATTTTTTACCTGTCTGGAAGCCAATGGGAGGTGAAAGGGAGACAGATTCTGATTCCCCAAGAGTGGTACCCTGTCAACATGGTCATCCCCTCTCCTGTTACCTCCCTCCCTGCTATGGAATCTCAGACTTTGGAACTGTACGAGAAACATTCTTCCCGCTTGTTTTCAAGACAGTTTTCTTTCACTTTGCAATTCAGGTAAATTTCCCATCAAAATAGAATAATTTTACACCTGGTGCTATCTGAATATAGTTTTGAACACTGAACATTATTTGAGCTGGAAAAATGATTCAAAGTGCCGCGTATCAAGCATCTGCTATATGCCTGCGAGTACTGTGGGTGCTTTATTTGTACTATTTCACTTAATCTTAGAAGTTCTACCTCCAATACCAAGGTTACACAGCTGGCGAGTGGCAAAGGCAGAACCAACTCATCTTTCTCCCCTGTAGAAGGTTACCTGGCTTTTCCAGGAGGCCTTTTCTTCTTAAAAAGGGTTTCTAAAATTTTCTGGCTATAAAAATAATGTATGTCCATAATGGAAAATTCAGAAAATATGAGATGCATAAAAAAGCAGTAATTCTACTACCCCGTACAACTGCTGTTAACCTTAAAATTTCTTTCTAATGTATTTTTCTGCTTTTCCAATTCTATATTTCTATATTTCCAATTTCTGTATTTCCCCTTTTCCAAAATTGGGATCTTGAAACTTTTTAGACTTTCCAAAGATTTTTAAATTTCCTTGAAATACCAGGAAGCCTGTTTTACCCAGTAAAGCAACCATGAACTTCTGAAATTCAAATGTTGTTCAGAAAACTGACCACACAGTTTCCAAGAGGTGACTAAATTTGGCAAAATATCTTTTTCCAGATAGGGGCTTTAAGTGCCTGGTCACTTGTTTTTCTGGCAGCAGGACTGCTCTTCAGTGGTCACCAGTGGCTATTAGTGTCATTAGAAGTTCTGAAACCTCTTTAGACATTAATCATGCTCCAGATGTTACCAACATTTAGTGACTGAAAATGAACATACATTAAAGTCTTCAGCAGCTGCCTCAAGGTCATAGGGATTTCAGCTTCAGTCTCCTAATTTGGGGTTTCAGCCAGACCCCATCAATGGGATATCACCCTCGTTATAAGCCAAGGAGCCCTCATTGTGCACATATTTTAATATTTTATATTTTCAGTTGGCTGCCCAGTAGTGTATGTGTTCTTTAAAATATCTCTCCTTTGATAGACAGTCCTTCATGGGGTCCTTTTGCAGACATGAGAGATTATACTCTGTTTTGATTCTATCTTTGCCCCTGAGATACCAACTGGTAGCATTCTTCCTACTTTGTCTGATCAAATAGAATTATTTTTAGTAGTGGCTGCTTTGCTTGAAAGACAGCTTATAATCTTAAAAAGCCCTTTACATTGTAGACATACAGGTTTCTTGACAGAGTGTGTCTAGAATTGCAGTGTCTTCTCTCCCCAGAAGACTACCTTTGAATTCACTCTTTCTGCTCCTGTATGTCTGTAAAGACAAATGAATTGCTTTGGTTCTGAAAATAGTAAGCATAGCATCCATCATCTGTGACAACCACTTCCTGAGCTTTATCCCTGAATGTTCTACAAGCCATTCTTATTGGTTCTCAATGGAGCTCAATGGTGCCAAGGGAAGTGATCAACTGACAGCAATAGCAGGTGGCTGGCTGTACCCTCCCATGGCTTTTATGTGCTGCTTTACATAACCCCGTCCAGTATTTATACATATTCACTTAACAAATGGAATGCATGAGCCATTTCACTGGAGCCCTGTTGGATAAATATGGAAAAAATGTGGGAGCTATGTCATGAACCACAATGGTTTTGCGTTCTATGTAATTTGAAGACAAGATTCCTTTGCTGTGTGTCACTTACCTCCTATATTACCGCTGTCTCCCAACATTTCATAACCATCAATTCTTTGCCAGTGCCCACATGCAAAGATGGGTTTGTATTAAAAAATAAATGAGAACAGCACATTCTGATGTGGTGTAGTATATCAGCATTTTCCACCCGAAGCCTCATTGCCTGCCCTTCCCCTTTTAGGAAACAAAGGATACAAGGCAGAGCTACTTATCCCGTTACGGCTCCCAGTGAGAAGGGTGACGGGATGTCAGAAATAAAAGAAAACCCTTTTTCCTTTGAAATATCTAAATGCCCAAAGATGGGAACAGCCACAGCAGGGAGAAGACTGTGCTATGCAGTTTGATCTGATTCTGTGGACCAGTTGGAAAGCTCAATTATTTTCAACTGCAAGAATTAAAAAAAAAAAGAAAAGACTTATACAGCGGCTTCAACACATAGAGATTTATTTTTCTCACATAAGGAGAAGACCGGAAGTGGGCAATCTCAGCCAAATCATCCAGGGCTCAGGTTCTCCTTTCTGCTCCACCAGCCTTATCATGTTGGATTTCTTCCTTGCGCCTGTCGCCTCATGGTGGCAAAGTGGCTGCAGCACCTCTGGGACTCATTTTTAAGGTAGGAAGAAGGGGACAGGGCCAGACGGTCTCCTTTTATCTGGAAAGCGAAAGGTTTCCCTGAACGCTCAGCAGATTTCTGCTGTCTTCTCATTGGCCAGAACAGTATCACATGGCCATTCTCAATAGCCTTGAAAAATGAGTTTTAGCTGGGAATACGGCTGGCTTGAACAAAAGTAGGGTTCTATTAGTGCAGAAGAGGGAGGAATGGGTGCAGTTTAGTCACATACCTCACACAGCTGCTCTTGTTAAGAAATCACTTAGAGGATGGTGCGGCTGAGGGCAGGGCACAGAGTAGGACATACTGACCTCTTTGAAGATGTAAGTGACTGTCTACACGATGTGTTCTTTCAGGCATGGACATCACAATAACCCTCACTAAGTGAGAGCAGTCCCAAACTTTTTGTTCATATGTGAAATTTTCTGTGATGGATTATTCCCCATTGCAATTACAATGAAAACTTACTGTATTTAAATGAATGGGAAAGTAAGCTTGTTAATCTGACCATTTCACTCCCCTGCTTAAAACCCTTCCAGAGATTTCCATAGCTCTTAAGCTATAATGTAAAGCCCTTGGCATGACCTTTAGAGACCTGCAGGACAGAGTCCTTATTTCAGCAGCCTCTTATCTGTCTCTCTGCCTCAGGACCCTTGCATATGCCCTTTCTCCTGCCCAAAAGCCTTTTTCCCCTCTCTGAGCTTCACACCCCCTTGCTTATTGTTCAGTTCTAAGATTGAAGATTCCCTAGAGAAGCATTCCCTAGCCTGTCAGGCTAGCTTGGGGCACCCTGATATGAACTCCAAGTATTCCAGTCCTCTTCTTGGCATTTATCTAAAAAACAGATTAATTTGCAATGAATTATTCCAAATGTGCTTCCTCTGCTAGAATGTTAGCTTTGGTGAAGGCCCTAATGTTCTTGTTTACTGCACCTGGTTTATTGCCTGCTGTGTAGTAAGCACTTAACAACTATTTATTGAATGAGTGAAATGAAATTCTGAAAGCATGAAACTGATTTTGTTGATAATACGCACTTGTGCTACTCGAAATACAGCTCTCGCTCGAACTGGTGCTAATCTGCAAATTGTTCATTGTTAATCTGCAACAAGTATAGACATTGAAAGTCAATGTTCAGACACTTTTATAACAATTTAAAAAAGTGTTGTCCCTCATGGTTTGGAAATTTAAAAAAAAATTATAAAATGAAGCTAGTCCTTCAACACAGAGGGTTTGAGAAGCAGTGCTCTGGGTTAGACAGCACAAGCTCTCATTGCACTAGGAAAATGCAAGCATTTCTAAAGCTGCAAGAGCTGCAGGGCCACTGCTAGCCGCCGCCAGAAGCTAGCAAATCAGCATGAACCGCCAGCAAGAGGGAGGCCATCCAGCCCCTCCTCCACCTCCCGAGTGGAGTCCTGTCTCCCTAACGTCACAGCCGGTTATTTAACTTGGACATGTTCTTTCATCATTTGTGATGATAACAGAACCTACTTCATGGTGTTGCTGTGAAAGATTAAGCAGGGCAGTCATATGCCAAGCGTTCTGAAACACTTATATGAGAAGCTGATATTATTATTACCTGTAACACATGAGAGAGCTATTTTGCACAAAGTAAGAGGGGCTGTTTTAAAAAACAAAACCTGGTTTTGATCAAAATAACATTTGAGATATAAAAGCATACTGAACAGAGATTGATATCAAACACTGAGAACAAACAGGCCGCTGGGAGGCTGTGAGGTTGTGTGTGCCTGAGGCAGGCGGAGATCGGGCTCTGACCTCATATCAAGGAAAATATTTGCATAGCAGAGCTGGCGTATTCGTGCACGGTTCCTATATAGGAAAATCTGCAAACCTAACAGTCAGAGAAGGAGAGATGAGTATATGTTTATGACTCTAATACTCTTCTCCAACTCAGGGTAGATGAATTCTGCCTATTACGAGGGCTGTATCCTCTCAGTTGAAGACTTCGGTGTAAAATGCAAGTACAGCTTATAGGTTACATTTTAAGCTCTTGTCAGTCATTTACACTTTAGTGTGAAGAAAAAAGTCTAAATAGAGCTGAGGTGGGAGCCCTCTGCTGTATCTTAATCTAACCTGGCACTTGCTCCCTAATCCTTCTCCCACCCCCCAAATCTTGCCCGTTACACACAGTGTAGCCTCACTCATATCTCAAACTTGAACACCATCCAGCCTCGCTGTTCTCCCACCTTCCTGACTGGAAGTATAAGTTGTACCCCCAAATTTAGCACTTATTTGTATTCTGCCATCACTCTTCCCTCTTATTTCAGGGTGTTTTCTTAATCACATCACCTAAGTTCCGGGACCACATCTTACACTTTGGGTCACCCCTCCTGCCCCAGCGCAGGGCTGCACACAGACTAGATCCTCAATAAACTCTTGTTGGATCATGAGGAAGGTAAGGCAGAAAACTCAGGACATCTGTGTCAAGAAAGGGTAGAGGTAAACCTTGGATTTGGGGCTGGAGAAGGTCACTGTCACCTTAAAGAGGGCATTTCCACAGGGGAACTGAAGCGGGGTGCCGAGAGAAAGGAGCAAGAGGGTGGTGAAAACAATGGAGGCAAGAAGTGTAACAGAAAAGTTTTTTTCCTATGCCTGTTTTGCTTCTTCCCTCTTTTTTTATTGAGATGTAATTGGTATACAGCATTGTATAAGTTTAAGGTGTACAGCATAATGATTAGACATCCATATATTGTGAAATGATTGCCACAATAAGTTTAGTTAAATGCACCATCTCATAGAGACCCACAAAAAGGTGATTTTTTCCTTGTGATGAGAAGTTTCAGGACTTACTCTCTTTGCAACATTCAAACATACCACACAGCAGTATTAACTATAGTTATCATGTTGTACATTATATCCCTAGTACTTATTTATCCTTTAACTGGAAGTTTCCTTTTGACCACCTTCCTCCAGTTCCCCCACCCTCACCTCTGCCTCTGGTCACCACAAATATGGTCTCTTTTTATGAAAGTTTGGTGGGGTTTTTTAAAAAAATTCTCCATATAAGAGAAATCATACAGTATTTGTCTTTGACTCTTTTCACTTAGCATAATGTCCTCAGGATCCATTCATGTTGTTGCTAATGTCAAGTTTTCATTCTGTTTTATGGCTGAATAAGATTCCATCGTATATATACACCACAGCTTCTTTATCCATTCATCCATTGATGGACACTTCCATTGTTTCCATATCTTGGCTATTGTAAGTAATGCTGCAGAACACGGGGGTGCAGATATCCTTCTGAGTTAATGTTTTTGTATTCTTCAGATAAATACCCAGAAGTTGGATTACTGGATCATCTGGTAATTCTCAAGTTTCTAGCTGGTGCCAGTGGGTAAGAGGATGGGGCTGGTCGCTGAAAGATGGAAACAGGAGGAAAAGTTGGTTTATGGGGAAAGATGATAAGCTTATTTTTGAACACATGGACTTTGAGAAACCTGTGGGGAATGTAAGTGGAGAAGATAATACATAATGTATGCATCTGGAGCCCAGATGAGCGATCTGGGCTGGAGGCAGGAAATAATGGTCTTTAGCACTGGATGATAACGAAGCCACGGAGTCATTGGGATGAACCGAGGGAGAAGGGGGAATAAAAAGAGAACCTGACTGAGGCTAGAAAGGAGAAGAATACAGCTGCTTAGGGGAGGGCAGGGGCTGAAGAACCCACAGAGGAAGAGGAACGCACACAGGAGACTGAGAAGGGGGAAAAGTAGGACGTAAAGATGAAGGAGTGTGCCATTGTGGAAGCCAGGAGAAGAAAAGGCGCTTCACGGAAGGGACAGCCAACGACGTCAGAAGCTGAAGAGACAGACGTCAAGGAAGAAAAGACTCAAGATTGCCTGCTGGGTCTCGCAGCCACAGGAAGATTCTAGTGATCTTGGCGAGACTGGCTAGGAGGAGTGGTGGGCGGGTACAGAAAGGGGGAGGAAGGAAAGACAGTGAGAGGGGACCACTGTCTAAAGAAGGTTAAGTAGAGGAGAAAATAGAATGACAGAGAGAGGGGCAGGTGGGGTCCTGGAAAGGTTTCCATTTCGTTGTCATTTTAAAAAACCAGAGTAAATTGAATTTCTTTCAGTGCTGATAGGGAGGTGCCTGCACCAGAAAGGCTGAAGAAATAGGGAGAGTGAATAACTGACAGGAATGGAGCTCCGGAGGAGGCCGGACGGGAGAGAATTCAGAACACAGAGGAAGGCCTCGGACGGAATAATAACAGTAATGCTCACGATTACAGGAAGTTTCTTGTGTTAGGCTCTCTGCTGAGCCTTTAAGTCCATTTAATGCCCACAAGAATCCAACGAAATAGATACTATTATTACCCCCATCTCTAAGTAGGGGCCGGGTTTTAACTGAGGCCCACACAATTGCCTCAACTAGGGTCCCAGAGCAAGTAAGTGGCGGAGCTGGGACTCCGTCAGTCTCATCAGGAGTTGAAGAGGAGAAGATGGACTCAGGTGCAGGTAACTTGGTGGACCTGGTGGAGGAAACTGCGGGCATTGTCTTCTATCTCTGTGAATTAGGGGTGGCAGGGAGGGCAGTGGAACAGCCAGAGAGGAGGGAGAAGGTGCTGGCTGCTGTGACTGCTGTGACAGACGAACAGCTGGCAGGGCCACGGCTCCTGGCAGCAAGGGAGCAGAAGCAGAGGCAGTGGCCACACAGCAGTGGGGACTGGTTCTGACTTGTCTCTCTTTCTTTTCACCTTTCAGACCCAAGGGAGGACCTACTTGGAGGAGTACGAGCTGGAGTGCCAATGCGGTTCCAGAAAGGGGCAGGAATCTCTGGTTACCTGCCAATGCTAATACATGTCAGAACAATAGTCTGGCTGGATCCTGGAAAATTGTGGTGCAACGCCCATGTCATTATCATCCTTATAATTTTCCACTGGCTTTTGGAGCAACTTTGTAATTTGGATTGAATTTCATTTTTGATGTACCAACTCAGTAGCATAACAGTAATTTTTAGTTCTCAAGTTTTTCATTCATTTCATCATTCATTTGTTCATTCTACAAATATTTATTGAGAGCCAGGCAGTGGTGGCCAATACCTCCATCTTCCCTGTCCTCCAAAGCCAGGGGAGCAGATCTATTTTAACGAGACTAGAGTGTATGTCCCACAAAGTCAGACTTTGATTATTTTCTTCACTGCTGTATTCCTAGTGCCTGCAACAGTGCCTGGCAGGTAATAGATGCTCAATAAGCATGTGTTCGATGCAGAAGCATATTTCACTGTGAAGCCAAAGGAGTTTAAGCTTAAGCCCCTCACTTGCACTGTCCCCTTCCAAGGCCCTCTGGGGGGTCCTGTTATGTGCTTTCATGCTTTTATATTTTTATGAACATTTCAAAAGTAAGACATTTTAACTAGCTAAGACCTCTGTCTCTACTCTAATTTGCCTCCATCACCTCCCCTCCTGTCAGGTGAAAATGGAGTGGCCATGGGCATTTGGGGATCCAGCGAAGGAGAAGCTGTGTTGGGAACACATTTAGGATGGGATGTGGGGGACATCCACATAGTTATGTGCTACACTGTCATTTAAGTCTATAGTTACTACTAGCTGTCCCAGTATAGGAATGACTTCCAGAAATACTCCTACTGCCCACTTTAAAGACTTGCCTGGCATGTCACAAAGGAGCAGGGTCAGATGTGGTGTCACAAAAATAAGCATGTCCCAGGCTCCTGGCACTGCAAGTTTGTGGGTGGTAGAGAAGGAAGAGCTTTCTTAAAGAAGGCCTCCAAAATTGCTTGAGTTTCAGGCCCCTCAAAATGCAAATCTGCCCTTGGCTGGATAAATGGGTGAATCTAAGTCCTCTTGTGTTGAGAAATAATCAGCTCCTACTTTACTTTTCTCTAGCACTTACAGACCATAGAGTCTAGTTCAAAGCTGAGCTTTGGTTCTAGGGAATACACCAAACCATTCTAGTAAATGGCTCGTCGTCTAAATGATGCTTGTGTGAGACAGCTCTCTGAAGGGCAGCCAGCTTCCAGTCATGTCTTCAGAGCTGATATAGCTATCAAATTCTAATTCCCTGTATATAATAGCCAAATAAATATTGTCACTGCCAAGTTCTTTTTACCAAATGCTTTACAAGCACAATCATTACACCTTAGGTAATGGCTATATTCGTAGATCTCTGGTGGTTTTCATTCATTCATTTATTCATTCAATAAATGTATTGAGTCTTTACTATGAGTCAGGCATTGGGGGTAAAACATTAAACAAGACACAGTCCCCTTCTCCAAAGAGCTTGTAGTCTAGTGGGGGAGTGAGACATTTAAACAGGCAATGACAATCCATGATTCGCACTAAGTCGGGGGTGGTGATGAGCACAGCATTTTTGAAGCACTTGGGTGGAGCATCTAACTCCGGAGGCGAGTCAGGGAAAGCTCCTTGGGAAAGCTGAGTCAACCACTTGGCAGGGGTATGGAAGCCCTGGGTGGGAGGGTGAACTAGATCAAAGGTTTCCACATCAGGCTGATCATCACCATCACCTGGGGGAGCCTGAAGACTAACAGGCCCACCCCAGACCTAGTGACTCAGAATTTCAGCAGGGTGAACCTCCGGAATCTATCTCTTTAAAAGAATCATACCAGATGGTGTTTTTGATCCACCAGATCTGGTGAAGTGGATGACCTTTGTGATAGTTGGGGGGATAAAAAGGCCTGCAGGAACCAGGAACCGCCTCCCATGGAGGAGGGGGCCTGAGAAGGAGCGGCTGAGGGTGGAGACAGGCGGAGGGGGCCTTCCAGGGCAGGAAACAAAAGCCTCCTAGATGGGCTGTTTGAAGGGAACTCAGGCCCTTTTAAGAAAGTCACTTAGCGTGGCTGGTAGCCTGCACGGCTGCTGGTTAACTCAGACTCTGAAGGCCATTCAGCAACCTGATCAAGGGCGCAGAGCCAGGTGTGTCGTGCAGTGAACATGTGTGTGAGAGCCTGCACTATGAGCAGGAAGGAGAAGGCTCAGGCTGCCCTGTGACCCTGTGGACTTCCTGTCCCCCTGAAGTTTTGCCAGAGTCCCAGCTTCAATTCTGTAGTTCAAGAGGTGGCTCCTGCGTCATTCACCTTTTTTATTTTAAAAAAAAAAAAAGCTTTATTCAGATATAATTCATATACCATAAAATCCATCCTTTTAAAGTGTACAATTTAGTGGTTTTTAGTATAGTCACAGAATTGTGCAACCATCACCACTACCTAATTTTAGAACATTTTCATCACTCCAAAAAGAAATTGAGCTGTACACTAGAAACTAACACAATATTGTAAATCAACTATACTTTAATATAGTAAAGAAAAAAATCACAGACAGAAAAAAAGAAAACTTGAGCCCATTAAGAGTCACTTCTCATTCTTCCTATCCCTACCCTTCCTCCCTCCCCCATCCCCTGGCCACCGCCAATCTGCTTTCTCTCTATAATTTTGTCTATTCTGTATATTTCATATAAATAGAGTCAGACCATATGTGGCCTTTGTGTCTTGCTTCTTTCATAGCACGTCTTCAAGTTTCCTCTATGTTTTAGTGTGTGTTGGTACCTCCTCTTGATGGCTCAATAATATTCCACTGTATGGATTTTGTTTATCCATTCATCAGTTGATGGACATTTGGGTTATTTCTACCTTTTGAATATTAGAAATAATGTTGCTATGAACATTTTTGTATCAGTTTTTCTGTACACATACGTTTCAATTCTCTTGGGTATCTATGTAGGAGTAGAATTTATGGCTCATATAGTAACTCTACGTTCAACTTTTTGAGGAACTGCCACATTGTTTTCCAAAGCAGTTGCCCCATTTTACATTCCCACCAGCAGGGTAGCAGGGTTCTGATTTCTGCACATCCTCCCCAACACTTGATTTTGTTCTTTGTTTTCACTATAGCTTCATCCAACGGTGAAGGGGTACCTCACTGTGGTTTCAATTTGCATCTCCCTTATCATTAATGATGTTGGGCACATTTTCATGTGCTTATCAGCCATGTGTATATTTTCTCTGGAGAAATGTCTATTCAAATCCTATGCCCATTTTTAAATTGGGTTGTCTTTTATTGTCAAGTTGTAAGTGTTCCTTGTATCTTCTAGATATCTGTCCCTTATCAGATATATGATTTGTAATTATTTTTGCTCATTCTGTGGGCCATCTTTTCTCTTTCTTCATAGCATCCTTTGAAACCCAAAAGTTTTTAATTTTGATGAAGTCCAATTTATCTTTTTTTTTGGTCACTTGTGCTTGTGGTGTCATACTTAAGAAACCATTGTCTAATCTGAGGTCATAAAGATTTAGTCCTATGTCTTCTTCTAAGAGTTTTATAGTTTAACACTTATATTTAGATATAATCCACTTTGAATTAATTTTTATATGGTGTGATATGGTTATATGGTATGATTTTTATATGGTGTGATATAAGATCAACTTCTTTCTTTTGCATGAGGATATCTAGTTGCCTGTATACCATTTGTTGGAAAGACTTTTTTTTTCCCCTGTTGAGTTCTTGGCACCCTTCTTGAAAATCAATTAACCATATGTCAGGGTATATTTCTGGACTCTCGATTTTATTCTATTTGGTCTACATCTCTGTCCTTATGCCAGAACCACACTGTCTTAACCTTTGTAGAAAAGCTTGAAAATCGGGAAGTATGAATCCTCTTTGTTCTTTTTCAAGATTGTTTTAGCTACATTTGGTTTCTTGGATTTCCATAAGAATTTTAGGATTGGCTTGTCAATTTTTGAAAAAAGGCATCTGGGATTTTGATAGGGATAGCATTGAAGTCGTTTATTTTTGAAGTAGTTCCGTGAGGTCACTAACAGGTCAGAGAGGGGCACAACTATTTGTTATCTACTTGACAGATAGGAAAATTAAGACCAGAACAGTGCATTTTTAAAACTCCTCAGTCTGACAATGCTGCTTTCAACAGTAGAACAGACACCTCCTACCTGCCATGATACAAATCTCCTTCTCTGTTAATTTTCAAACAAATATTTACTGAGTGCTTTCCCTGTGCCAGGCACAATTCTAGGTACTCAAAAAGCTACAGGTCAAGCTTAAGAAAGGACCATTTGAAACTTGCTGTCAAATCAGTTGTTCTTTTTGATACACAGAGATGACGCCCATTAGAGATTTTCGTGCTCTTTATCATGCAAAAATATCCCAGCTAAATTTTCTTCTCTTTTCTTTACATTTTTATTTGACTTATAATCATTTTACTAAC